TACGTGTCGTTTACAGCGATTCTGTCGATCCTGTGTTAAGTATAAAATACAATAATACAATACTTTGAATATTTAATACTTGTTATAAGACATGTGGTGACACTACTGACCGGTTCACCGAACAGTTAACTCGCATCACTTCTTTGATAAATGCGTCCAAAAATGGCATTTTTTGCAACTTTTCGTAATCCATAGATAACTCATTGGTATCCTTAGTATACAGTGTGTTATGAATCTCGTGAACCAGTTTTGTTTGATACAAGGGTTTGAGGGCCAGTATTCGGGTTATGTAACATAACTGGGACGCAGTGGTCTCATACCCGCCGGCTAACATGTTCATTGTCTGACCGAGCACTTCTATCTCGGTCAATTCTAATTAATTAAAATTATAAATTAATAATCAGCTAGATTAAAATAAAAATATAACAATTTTATACATACTATCAAATGACTTATTAGCGTTGACGGGAGGGTTGGGATACCTATCGGCCCATACGCTAGCATTAACCGAGTGCTGTAACAGGTCGGGCACCTGTACATCGCGGGCCACCCTATCTCTAATCACGTGACTTACAGTATCGCCAATTATTTTCAACTTCTGGCGATCAAACCACGGAATGTCGACGAATCGGCGCAAAACAGGCACATAAAACACCAGCCAATCAGTGAGACCTTGGTCAGTTTGAAATATACTTTTCACCGAGGTGAACAGCGCGTTATCACCGGGATTATCCAGGGCGTTTGTGTAGGCACCGGCCACAGCCCTAGTGATCACGTCAAACGTGTACGAGTCGTATAGGTCTCGCAAGTCTACCACTTGGCTGTCGCGGGCTTTTGGGTCCAATAGTGTGCACAAGTGGTCAAACGTGTCCGACATTATCGGTAGCATAGCTTTGAGTCGACCGGTGGTGAAGGCTGTGGAGTGCAGCGCACGGATACGTTTCCATTGCCGGTACCGGCAGAAAAATAGGCCGTTACTAATTGGCTCGGTTTTGGATGCCAGCACCTAGGTAATTTGTAATTTATTTTAAATAATGTTACTTAATTAATAATAACTAACATTAATGATTTTGTTAGGCAAATGCAAATATTTATAAAATGTTGTTTTCGTATATAAATTATATTTTATGTTTTACATTAATGATTAAAGTGTTATTCTATCAATTTAGTTAATGCTTTATGTTATCTAGATATTATAAAATGTTACTGTTTAATGTTTTATTATTTAATAATTATAAACTGAGTACTGAGCTTATATTAAACTAGTATTATTTATAGTATTTAATTAATAAATGACTTACCCTGTGTTCAGCAAACTTTTGAAATTCTGTTACCAGCACTTTGCGTATGAGATTGGGATCAGTGATGGATAAACAAGGTCTCAAACCCTCATAGTAACTTGTTTAAATAATTAAAACATTTATACAGTATTAAATTAATTTTGGCATATTTTAATAATTAGAAATTGTTAACAAATAATTATCAAATACCCGACAACTTTGCCGTGTTTTCTGTGGCACTCGTTGTCTGATATATGAAAGGGTTGACCACTTCTGGCCGACCAGTCGGTCGGTATTCCGTGGTTTGATCGCCAGAAGTTGAAAATA